TGTGTAATTTCACTTCATCACACAAACTAAATATTTCAATTATTTTTTTATATTTTTCTTGTTCTAACGATTTGGATATTAAATATAAGTTTGTAAATTTTAATCCTTCCTTTCTTACAATTAAGTTATACATTACAACCGTCTTCCCACTTCCACTTGGACCGCAAATAACACATCGAATATTGGTAGGAAATAGACCCAACTTCTTTGGTATATTTTCCTTAGTATGTACTATTTTAAATTTGTGTTTTTGTTGAATAAAAGACATTTTTTATATAATAAAAATGGTAAAAATAAGAAAACATGTAAAAAGGGCAAAGGTTTATTCCTAAAGCCATACAGGGGTCGAGGGTTATTGAATACTCTTATAAATAACCTTCCATTCCCACTTCACATACCATCATATCGATACTGTGGACCTGGAACGAATATACGTGAAAATCTAGCTAAAAATGTACCTCCAAAAAATAAACTAGACTCTTATTGTAAAGAGCATGACATATTCTACATGAATAATCCCGATACCGCTGCTCGGAACAAAGCAGACATGAGATTAGCAGACTTAGCTTGGACTAGAGTTACGGCCAATGATGCAAGTCTTGCTGAAAAAGCTGCTGCTTATGCCGTGACAAATTTGATGAAGGCTAAAGCAAAAATGGGAATGGGATTAAAATTTAATAAAAAAGATGGACAACTACCAGCTGTTAGAGGCCGCAAAAGACGTGCCTCACTTCAGAGGGGTGTACCTAAAAAGTGAGCTAAAAAATCTAACACCAAGAGTAAAAGAGTGCGGAATAGTTAATTTAGACAGTTCATCTGGCACACATTGGACAGCATATCGTAAAAATAAAGATATTGTAATTTATTTTGACCCATTTGGAATCCAACCTCCAAAAGAAGTAATTAAATATTTTGAGGGATATAAAATATTCTATACAACCGATCAAATACAAGATTTAAATAGTTCTATTTGTGGAATTTTATGTTTATCATTCATAAAAAATATTTCTTTATAAAAATGGATTCATTTACCATAACATTTTCGGGTACAGAGCCAGAGCTAAAGTCAGTGTTCTTTCCTCCCATAGAATTAAATGATGATTATGTAATTGGATTAGTAGATTTTCAAAGTTATAATTCTATATTTAATGTGAAAAAACCTCTAAATACTTTAACATATTACAAAGTAGAGAAAATAACATTACCAAAAGGAGATATCTCAGTTGATGATTTAAACCAGTTATTAAATGGCAAACTTAAAGTTATAGTAGATAAAAATGGAGAAGCATTAATTAATACTAAATCCAAACTTTTATTCAAAGGGCTTATTCCAAAATTAAATCAACTTAAAGCCAAAAAATTAACCATTAGTGAAGGTGATGATGTTTTCTATTATGACCACAATGCTCCAGTTACAATAGAAATTTCTGAAGGAACATATGAGGTGGTTGAGCTTGCAAAGGAAATTCAAAAGCAAGTCCCAGACTTTTTCCTTACAGCTAATAATAAAACTATGAAAGCTACACTACTTTCTAGCCATGTGTTTGATTTTACAAAACCATGTTTAGGGTCTGTTTTATTGGGATTTAAAGGTGTTTCTACTCCTGGTGTTCAGTTTGAATCTACAAATAAAATAAACATTAATAATGTAAATGTGATTAGAGTAAAATGTAATATTGCAAACGGGTCCTATTTAAATGGCAACAAATCACACACCATACATAGCTTTTATCCAGAAGCTCCTCCTGGCTACAAAATTATTGAAGTTCCAAGAAATATTATATATTTTCCTGTAAATAAGAGAAGTTTAGATGTTGTCAGTATAACATTTGCCGATCAGCACGACAAGGCAATTGACTTTAATGGAGAAGAAACTACAATTACTTGTCATATAAAAAAGATATGAGAATTTATAAGAATTTATCTATAAGTGTACAAAATGCTAGGTTCCTAAAGTCAATAGGACTAAAGTTAAAATTTTCTATTAATAAAAATGGAAGATTTTCTAGACGTTACAGGGAAATCCCAATTCGACGATAGTGTGGTTAAAATTACAAATCACTCCTATGTTCCCCACAACACTTTAGCAATAAATAATTCTGATGAAATTCGAATATGTATTAATAATCAAGATTTGCTAACTCTCCCATGTAGGAGTTATCTGTATATTGAGGGAGAAATTGAAAATCATGATAAAGGTCATTTTATAAATAATGCATTTGCGTTCTTATTTGATGAAATTAGATATGAAGTTGTAGGTAAAGAAATAGACATTGTAAGAAACCCAGGAATTTCTAGTCTTATGAAAATATTGAGCTCTTACAATAAAACAACTAAATTGACAAATGTAGCATTTGATTCTGACACGAATTTAAAAGAGTTCCATAAAGGTGGCAAGTTTAGTACATGTTTACCATTAGAGTTGTTAATGGGTGTATTTGAGGATTTTAATAAGGTATTAGTAAATGTCAAACAAGAATTGGTGTTGAAAAGATCCAAAAATGATTTGAATTGTATATTAACAACCGCTAGTGCTCCAGCCAGTGGCACTGCTGATATGATTCCTAAAATTACACTTAACTCAATTCAATGGGTGATGCCACATGTGATACCATCAGATGGGGAGAAGTTACAATTACAAAAGATGTTATTGCAAAATAAAAATTTGCAAATTGCATTTAGAAGTTTAGAGCTGCATGAACTTCCATCATATCCTAATACCACAAGACATACATGGTCAGTAAAGACGTCTTCAAGTTTGGAGAAGCCTAGGTATATTATATTTGGTTTCCAAACAGCTAGGGATAATAGTGCACGAAAAAGAACTGATGAATTTGATCGTAAATTAAAAAATCTCAAAGTATTTCTAAACTCTGAATATTATCCTTACAGTGATTTAAATCTCGACTTTGAAAATGGAGATGTCTCTAAAGCTTATGAGATGTTTATGAGGTTTAGAGAGACTTACTATAATACTATCCCAGATCCTATGATTAGTAGGGCCGAGTTTATGAAGAAATATCCACTAATCGTAATAGACTGTTCTAGACAGAACGAAACAGTGAAGTAAGGAATTGTTGATATTAAATTAGAGATTGAAACTGCAGAAAATGTACCAGCAAATACATCTGCATATTGTTTGATAATACATGATAAAGTGTTTGAGTACAATCCTTTGTCAAATGAGATAAATAAAATGTAAATAAAAGATGAAAAACATTCAACAAGAATTGGTTGACTCTGCAAATCAAATACGAGAAAAATATAGAGCTTTAAAACGTGGCAAGTTTCTAGAGGCTGAAGAGAGGTTCCAAACATTCCAACCTTTACTAGAGCCATTACAAGAATTAAAGAAAATCACATCAGAGAGGCCTCGAATGGAGATACTCCCAATGACTCCATCTAGAATATCAATGATACCAAGATTACAACCATTACAACCATTACAACCATCCACCCCACAGAAATTAGATTTTGGTCTTTTAGCATCAGACTATTTAGGAAATTACCTCAGTAAAAGTAGTATGACAGACACTACATATGGTATTAGACGAGAAGCAAATAAATTTTTTATTGGAAATAAGGAAGTTGATATTGCCAATGATGATGTTACAGTTGCAAATAAAACCTACAAGGGGACAAAAGGTTTATGGGAATTGTTAACGTTAAAAGAACCTGAGAACTATACTCACCCAAAAACGGCAGCGACAAACTGATTATTGGAATTCAACTACAGTATACGGTGTTGCTCCTGCTCCATCAAATATATATTAAAACCAAAACAATCGAGTAAAATATCGTGTACACATGATGGGGTGCTATGGTACAATTGGGGGTTGCACCGCCTGCACCTCATCCAGTGAATAGCGTTTTTACACTACTGTACTATGGGACAGTTGGAGGGGTGCACGTGCTCCTGGTTCATTGAATAGCGTGTATATATATATATTTAAACCAAAACAGATACACAATAAACTGTACACATGATAGGGTGCTATGGTACAATTGGGGTTGCACCTCCTGCTGCTCCAGTGAATAGCGTTTTTACACTACTATACATATACACATGCATGGGTCAATAAATGAAATAATTTGTTTTTTTTTATTTTTGCTTAATATCGAATATATTTATGGGGAATAACTAAGAAATAAGGTTTGACAATTTTATAGGGATATTTAGGCAAAGATCAGGATTTTAGATTTGGTGGCCAAAAATAATCCCCATAAGAATAACGTGGGAAAAACGTGTCTAAAGTGGGGTATCTTTCTGGGTTCACCACTACTTATAACTTAGGCGATACGAAGTTCGCCGGGTCAGCTAGTATTTTCTATAATATCACAGTGATGTGTATGTTTTTAAATATAGCTACTCCACCTAGGCCCCTATCTGTTCTGCAATATCCAGCTAGAAATTCATAATTTGATATGTTTAGTGCGCTTAGGCTCAACTGGTCTAATCCATGCTCGTTGATTAAAAATAAATCGGGTTTTTCTGAGAGCAAAAACTGTTCAATAATTTCAATTTTATTAATTATACTTCTAACATTAAGATGTGTAATCTTAATGTTGTCACAATCCTTTGGTCTAGTTGTGTTAATATTTATGTTTTTTCTTGGTTTAGGCTGGTTTCCAAGTTTTTTGAGGACTTGTCACAGCCTACTCTTCAATGTTACTTTTTCAACTATCACTCTACAGACAAGGAGTGAAGAAATTTGAAGAGATGAAGAAGATGACGACTCCCCTTTCCTTGGATAGTGGCGAGGACTTTGGATGGTAAATGGTAAATGGTTAAACCATGTTAAACGCACGAATACTGGAGAAAAATACGTTAAATGTATTGTGCGCGGACCGCGGATTAGTGAGGGAAAGCGGGATTTTTATGCTTGTGAGGAGTGATTTCTTCCGGAGCTGTGTGAGTGTGGCAACACTGCTGAGTGCTGCGCTAGTTGCTGTTGCTGTTGCTGCTAGGTTACGTTCGGCTACGGACGGCTACGCTCGCTCAGTTCAGTTCATCTGTCAACCTCAGCGGAAGTAACAGGGCTGTCAAAAATAGCAGAAATTGTCCGATCGGATTGTTCTGGTTATTTTAAATTTTGTTGTTTAATTTAGTCGGCTGCTGTCGTGCTGTGTCGTAAAATTGTAATTTACTTTTAGCCATGGTGCCAGGTTTGTAAGTTTCTGTGAATTTTAGTGCGTGTGTGTCAAAAAACTATAAAAATGGTTCAAAATTATACATCCCCCGTCAGGGTCTACAAATATCCATTTGAACTTGTTATGAAGGTACGTATGGAATTATATTCGATTAACTGACTATGTTGAGCTATTAACTTTACTCAATGATTGGTTACGATTCAACGATTGCCCCACTTTAAAAGATTTGATCTCCTACTCCTACACCAAAATTACGTGTCTTCTAGCCTACCCTTTCCACTTAAGTTAATCGAATTTATTGGTAACATTATATCGTAACCTTGCTTCACAAGATGTCCATGTTCATTATATACAAATTCCCTCTCTGATGGAAATCCGAGGCTAACATTATCTCCAAGACAATATGTGATTCGTTTGAACCATATGTTTACTTGGTGTTGGTGTTTTTGGGTTAGGTCAGTTCAACTTATTTTGTCATTGCACACTTACCATTTTCCTATAGCCTATAATTAGGCCTAAGTTAAAAAAAAATTTGGGTACAGTTTCTTAACTGGGCTATGCTAATATCGATTAAAATTATCGATTCGATAAGTAAACCTTCATGCAATTTTTTCACCATCAGCAAGTTTGGTTGGTTAGGTTAGGTTATGATACTTAGTTTTATTTTAAAATAAGTTAGTTTGGTAACCTATATTTAAAAATATCGATTATTAATCAATATTTTCAATTCGGTAGTTTTAATCTACAGTAGGTATCTATACCGTGCTTATTTAATACACAAGCAGGTTTTTTGTGACAATTACTCCTCCGAAACTACTGAATCGATTGACATGTTTTTGGTGTCATTGGAAAGAGCGTAACGTGAAGTTGTGCAGGAAACTTTCTTTTTAGGGAAATAATTAGAGAGCATGGGGGCCCTTTAAAGTTTCGTATTTCTCCATAGGATTAACATGGGAAAAAACATTGTTTTGAAACTACAGCTGTTGTCAGAAATGCTTTTCTGCTATTTAATTTAATTTGTTTACAAGGAGAATTGTTTCTTGGTGCCATGTGGTCAATGAATTATACTTTTGCATATATTTTAAATGCTATACACTATACAAAATGATAGTAACTAACTGTAATACATTAAGAGATCCTAATTTAAATAATCAATAAGCAGGATTGAGCTTTTGCCTTTATGTTTCCTGGTAACTTAAGTGTGTTGTAACTGTTTCTCATAGTATATTACAGTTATCTTATAAGTAAAACCGAATTATTCTTTTCTGCATTCTCACCCCGTAGCGAAGCACGGGCAGAGCAACTAGTTTATTATTAAATAAGTTAAATTATACCTTCTTTCTCTATCACTAACAAGCTGCTGAACACGCAGAATAACTTAACAAACAACAATTTAAGTTAGGCTAAACTTAAAAAAATTAACCAACTGAATTAAGCTAAAACGACAAAATAATTTTGATCTTGAACAGTGAGAGTAAATTAATTAAATAATTTATTTTCTGCGTGATTGGCTGGATTGCAGTTTTCAATTTTTTTGTTTTTATTTAGGCCTATTTATCAACGGCAATTAGGCCTACACCAATTTAAGTATCATCATTTGACAGCTAATTTAACAACAGTAACTTAAAATGTGTAGTGTGACTAAAATTTAATTGTTTATCTTGAAAAGTGAGTAGGCCTAACTTAAACTTATTTGGCATTGCCGTGTTTATTCGTGGTTTGGTATGAGGGATAAAACTTAATCCATTCAGTAAAAAGTTCCCCTAATTGCAATCTTAGACCACAACATTTACATTTGAGTTATATTTAAATTGGCTGTCATTTTTATACTCGCAGGCCATTGAACCAGCTGTAAAATGTAGCCCTCAAATAGGACAACAGGTTGCATTTATCTCCCTCCATTTCTGATCAGTTCTTAGTTTGTTGTTGGGAAAAGAAGTTTTAGAGGACCACAAGAAAACTTTTTTAGCAGTACCGGTAGGGATTTGTAAATTTTCCATAGAAAAACTACATTACAGATAAGTTTGATCCATTTACCTTATGGCTTATACACATATTTAGATACAATTATGCATTTCGCATTGATAAATTACAATTCAAGAAAACATAATTTAACTTTTTGCAAAATGGTGCCTAGTGGGGTAGATTTGAACAAGAGTCTGAGGGGTACATTTGAACACCATGTTTTCCTCTGGTAAGCATGTTGTTCAAATGTACCCCAACTGATTATATTTGTTTCCTATACAATACAGTAATGAATAGGCCTAGTAATAATTTAAGACTATATAAGCTTCCTCAACCAACAATGAGTGTGAGAACTGCACGTGCAGCGAACAAATATAAGTTTGCTATTAACTTTGCAACATTTAGCTACAAATAATGTGAATCTATAACATTAAATGAAGAATTAGTTCCAATAGAAATAAGTTAAGAACTGTTTTTATCAACTCTGATGCAAAACAATTTCTGTAAAATAAAAATTTTCATTTTACTTAGGCTAATTAGTGAGTATTTATTCCGTATAGGTGCCTCCAAAAGAATTTTTAATTTTGATATCTTACTTTATAGTTTTTTCCCTCTTGAATCCAAATATACCATTATTTTTCACCGCTGATGAATATTTCTCAAGATATCGCCGTAAAAACATACTTAACAACACAATAAACAAGATAGGATGGATAACATTTCAAGTGATTCTGTAGTCAAATAACTTAATGTTCTCAGGAATTTCGTCACATTATGGAGATATAGATGGACTGGTACGGACTAATTACATGTAGTTCTTATTAAGGCATGTCAGGGTGGTAGGTCGTGCTGTATGTGAATTGGTGACTGCAATAAGTGTTTTGAAGTTACGTTAGATTAGGAAGGTAAAGTTTAGGTTATAATGTATCGAGTTGTTAGTTTATGTTGCCTACAGACTGTTTTTGTAAAATTGAAATCCTGAACAAAACACTTCAAATTACTTTTTAAAAAATGCTTGCATTTTTGAAATAGTAATTTGAAGTGTTTTTTCTGGATTTTAATGGTAATTTGGTAGAGTCCGTATGTGAACTGTGGAGAGAAAACAGCTTTTTATATTTGACTCCAACTTAATACAGTCACAGACCTGCATAGTCTGACCTATCTTCCTCACATGTCTTTTCTGTCACCAAATGGGATTTTGAAAGTTGAGAGTAGGTTGGGTTAGGAGGTTAGCTTAGCTTAGCTTGAACGCTTGACTTAATTTAATAAATTTCTTACTGGGGTATGCGCAAAAGAACATATTTTTACTTATCATATTGTACCTCACTCAATAGGCTACTTCGTCTTTACGTCCTTGCTGCTGCCTTGTAAAAAGCATGGAGTCTCTTACTAAGTTTATTGGAGGGTTTTGTTTCTTAAACTGAAATTCTGCTACCTATATATCCAACGAAATGCTTGGACTTCAACCCATATTTGGAGATGTGATCCTGAAGGTCCCGAAGGTGTTCTATGCTTTAAAAAAAGTCAGCAGCATATTTTCAAGAAGCATTGAATTGTTTTTAGCAATTACAGTGGCCCTGTATACGAGGTATAGAAGCTTAATGCTCATATTTTTTCCTCAAAATAAGTTTAATACTGTATTCAATTTTTCTTACTTCCCACACATATAAAATATATCCAGTAGCCTAACCAATTAACAAAATCGCCAAAAAAATACTGTGTAACATAAAACAGATGTAGCCTATTTGAAAGCCAAAGCAAATCTGTACTGTAATGGTCTATTTACTGAGCTAGAAAGCATGCATGTTACATCATTTTCTCTCCTGGATTTGATTTGCATGCCATTACTCTAGTCCCTAATCTTGTTAATCCGACTATTCGGTGCGCTTAGTTCGTAAAAATTGAACCGAAAACTATTCACCATTTTAAAAATGTGCGTTGTATGTGTAGTAGCATTTTCTTGGTGTCATTTTAAAAGTATATTACTGTAGTATACAGAAAAGAAAGATTATCCATGTTTTATTTGGAAATTCTTCATAATTATTTTAAGTAGTTACTTTTCAAAGTGATTTGAAAATAACCTTAAGTAGTTAAAATATCATCTCAAAATAAAAATAAGTTAACGGTTCCCAGGATTATTGATTCTTTCTAAAAACTATAAGTTTTTTCCTTGTACTGTTTATAGTATAGAAAGCTGCTAATTGCTGCATATTTTTACTTTGTCGTACGGTTTATACTTTGGCGCACATCAGGATTCCAACGAAACAACACAAAACAGCGTGGTTCTATTATGCACGTAATCCGTGTACGCTTGGAAATAGGTTGGCAACACTTAAAGATAATAATACTATGAGCAGCTGATTTGACTATTATAACTACGATTTAACCTGTCATTTCGTGTTTAGGGTATAGTTTCGGTATTTCTGAACTTTCTGGACTTTTCTTTTAAACGTTTTTAAAACATTCATACAATCTTAATAAACAAGAAAATACCTTTAAAGCAGTTTTTAGACGCGGAAACCACTTCAAAATACAAAAACATACGGAACTATTTTCTCAAGTCGCGGAGCACATTGCTTGCCGAGGAAAAAATAGCGGAGTGATGCGGACCGGTAACAACTTTCTCTAGGGCACCTATATTTGTTGCCAGCTGAACCTAAAAACGTGTTGTATAGTGTTCGAAAGACTAATTATTAATATGCTTTATAGTGGCTGTAGGAATAATATAATGTGTAACACGAGTGCAAAAGGCCTTTGCTGCACTCGAGATCATTCCTTTTGCTCTCGTGTGCAGCAAAGTGCCACTTTGCTCACTAGTTACACAAATAACTATTATGTAGTTTAATTTTGTAGGTGTGGTGGATTCATAGAATTTTAAACACAGTTGAGAACACATTTTAGTTCAATTTTTTTTATTCCAATGGTTTGGTAGCTTTTTTACCTTATGGTTATCGAACCAATTAAACTTAAAATTAAGTTAGGTCGTGCAACAATTTTTGATATCATAACATCTGTTTGGCTTTGTCTAACCTCGAGGGTCCATCATACACTGAAGGTGAGCCAGTGTTGGCTTATGTGTTGTTTGCGTTGACACAATAGGCCTACCATTTATTTTTTATTTATTGATAAAAGGAATATTAAATAAATAAATAAATACATAGGCC